GAAAAAAATAACAAGAGATGCTATACAATGAAAACATAATAATTAACTTTTAACCATTTCTCTTCATTTATAACCATTTATTAAGGACACAAAAAATATTTTAAGTAGGAAAAGCTTCTCATGGAACTAGAGTAGGTTAGGCAACTCAAACCCTATACTGATGCAATTTGATGCGGCCATCACCAGGACCACTGGACAGCCCTGACCTTTTGATATAACAGTTATTTAAAAAACAAACAATACTTATCTTAGACATCTTAAATTTTGGACAACAAAGGCATGCCTTTGCACTGGGATGCCTCCAGTAATCCGAAAGTTTTAGGTGATCTTACAAACAAGGGTAAAAGTTGGTTACATAGGCCAAAGGAAAGATAAGAAAATGGCAGAAAGGGAACATGGATGTGTTTCTTGCCAAGTTTGAGTTATCCACACCACCTCTGCCTCATGCAGGTACAGCAGCTGCATGCCACAGCAGAAGTAATAGGGCTGGAACACATTCCTGTAGCATCATTTCCTGGCTTCTGCCACAAGGTCCCAGGTGTAAAATAAGATGCAAGAATCTGCACTGCAATACAACTACGCAAATTTTCGTCAGCAGAAAAACCTCATTTAACAACCCACTGGAATTTAAAGCTACAGTTTGAATCCTGAGCCCTGGCACCACTGCTGTAACAATGAAAGATCCTCCTCCCCCTGAAGATTGCTTTCTCTCAATGTACCCTTTCCAAAGTACCTTTAAGTCAATGAAGTCTTTTCACTATGTACGTTAGGAAAACAAATATGACTTTCATAGGTCAAAGATGCTGCATTAAACCAGTACTTCCAGACTCAACACTGACTTATCCCAGTGTGGGAAAATAATTTAATTCTGATCAGACTTGCACAATTTTTATGTACATGGCACACAAAATGTGGAGTTGGTAAGTTTATGCATATTGATAGTAGTGAATTACTGGCCAGATTCCCAATTAGCTTAATCAAGCCACAGTAGAGAACTGGGAATATGTTGCAGGAAATTCAGTAAATATCTCTACCCAGTTCACCACTGCATGATGTTGGCCACACGACAAACTGCACAACTACCTGCATTATTATTTCTATTATGTACCTAATAAGTGCTGAGCCTCATTTTGTTATCATAGATATGAGTGGTTGTGCCATTCCTGAAGGTGTTTTAACACCACAGGCTGCAATCCTCCAGGTTCTAAGAACAAGTGACCCCTTAGAAAGGTGCTCCAAAGACTGAAATAGCGAGATTAATCACCAGAAAGGAGACAGCAAAGGAACAATAAAACCAGATTAAAAAGAGACAGATCAGAAGCTTCTCTATAACTACAACTTAACAGACAGAGCAGTAGGGAAATTCAGCTCTGTTGACAGCTTGGAAGTACAAAACCAGGCAGAAGAAGTGACATAAACACTCAAAATGGAGCAACAGATCAACACCAATGGAGAATTTGAGCAGGCGACTCAAAATATGTACAAGGATTATGGGGAAGATAGAGTATGAAGGAGAACTGATGGGATTTCAAGTTCTGAAGACCAGATTTTAACAGTTACGAATTCAGGAACACCTGAGTGGAAAGAACACCGTGTTGCTCTGTTCCTCCAATGGAAGTGTTATTTATCAGGTCAGCAGACCAGGCAGCCGGACCAGCACCCCACAGCGCTTCACAAGGAACGTTGGAGGAAAGATGTTAGAATGAGAAATACCACGTTTACCTTTTCTCCTTCCCCTCTCTCCTCCCTCTCCCCCCAAAACCCAGCACTTTCATTTGATAGCAGAAAGAGAAAAGTACAACTACTTTGGTGACAGCAGCTCTGAAAACCACTGCCACATAACTCCTGGCCGTTTTTATTATTAATTCAGGATTACAATATTTATCTTTGAAGTAGCGCCATTTACCACCGACAAAGTTAGGAAACACTGCCAATATAGAAGCTCAAGGAGGACGGCCTCGACTTGGTTGACCCTGAGCCAAAAATACCAAAAGCACATTAAAATGTATTAGCATTAAGTGCAAGTATGAAATGAGAATTTTCACTATGAGCTGAGGGACTTCTAATTGAAAAATAAAGCAAGAGTCCTGTGATCCTCCAGTCCTTGAATGAGGGTTGCACAGACAAAACAAGAAGCAAAGCCCCGCGCTATTTCTGGATGAAAGACATTTTCAGCACTTCTGATGGGATTTATAACTGAAGTTGATGCACTGCTATTTCTTCTAACATATTGCACACAGCACAAGTTAATGACTATCATGTCTCCAGTCTTTAATGTACTCAAACTCTTCCACAGCATCCCTTCCTCACATCTTCATCTCCTTAGTGATCAGCAGAGCTTTGGTCACCCCCAGACAGAATTACTCTCAAACATGCAGCAGAGGGGCACACCAAAGAGAGAGGCTGAGACCAAAAGGTGTATGACCTGCTATTGCTACAGGAGAGAGAGAATTAAAAGGCTGCTGATGTGAGAGCACTAGGAGTTGCATTCTTCAAGGAAGGCTCCTGATGCTCAGTGCTCTGTTGCCAGTGATACAAGCACAAAAAGCAGGAGAGTCCTGGGCTTTGCAAGTCCAGGTATTATGCAGCGTTAGAACCTCTGATAGCACAGCTGCCTTCCCAAGCGCTTTCTCAGCCCCAAGGCCCGAACTCAGAACAGCAACTGTTGCCTTTCAAAAACCCCACGCTGTAAGAAACTAAATTCAACTCCTGCAACTTAAAAGGCACTTCCCTCATCACCGCAGCGCAGATCCGAAGAAGCAGAAGGACAAACATCATCATCTTCCTCACTCGTCCAATAGAAGGCTCAAAGCCACTATAAGACTATAAGAGGAACGGAGAGCCCCGCACCCAGACGTTCACATCGTGGCAGCGCCTGGCTGTCCCAGGGCGCCTGGTGGGAGGTGCAGAGACGCCAGTAGCGCGGATACCCGCGGTGCGGCGCGCAGCCGCCGGGCCGTGCCGGGCCTTCTGGAGCGCAGCGCTGTCCCGAGGCGCGCACTGACCGACCACCGCCGGCCTTGCCGAGCCCTTCCCTTCCCCCCACGCTGCACGTGGCTCCCGGCACTGCCCGCACACCCACGGCGCTCTCGGCAGCGACGCAGCCTGCTCACCCTCCCCATCCCGCGCAGCTGCGCCGCGGGGCTCCCGCAGAGCCCTATTACTCCCCCCGCCTCCGGCAGCGCTCCGACCGCTGCGCTCCACAAAACCCCTCGCGTCAGCGGATCCCTGAGGTCACCCTCGGGGATAACGCGCCGGCAAGAGCCGACGGCTACCGCGGGCTGCTCTAACCCCGCGCCTCGCGCTCCGTTCCTCTTTCCCTGCCTCCCGAATCCCACCTGGCGTCCGCACCGCACGGTCCCGGAGGAGCGGGGCAGGCTGGCTGCCGGTGGCGGCCCCGCGGCGTGCTGTGCGCGGATTTCCCCCCCCCCGGTCGCCCGGCTCCGAGCCCAGCCCGCATGGCACGCGGCAGCTACAGGGGACGGAACGCGAAGCCCGGACCGCGAGGGGAACGCTCTGCGCGGCGCCAGCCCCGGAGTTACGGCACTTTTCCTTTAGGACCAAACTTGCCATCTCTTGCCGGCGCCATTAATCTCCATCCCCGCACCGCTCACGCAGGAGCGAGGCGGTTGGCTTCTCCTTTTCCTCCCCTCGCCCCCACACGCGCTCCCTAAAAACCCAACAATTATCAGTGTGGATTTTTTTCCTTAATTCCCCTACATCTGCGTCATTATATTCGCATTAGAAATCAATCAGCTCCGGTCATTAGCATTAGCGATCTACTCGTAAAGCAAACACCCGTCACGCTAATGAACTGAACGAGGCATAATTTCTTGTTGTGTAAACCGATGCTCAGCTCTAATCAGCAATAAATTCAATCAGAAATTACTTACATCAACCGGAGAGCGACGGCTGAGAGGAACGGACACCCCGGACGCCGGCAGAGCGCTGCGGGGAGCGGAACGTGGCCGCGGAGCCGTTGGGGGGATGCAACCCTGAGCTTGAGGGAGCACCCGGCTGCAGCCCCCGCCGCGTGCCCGACCTCGAGATGAAGCCTCGCGCTTCTGATCAGAGCAGCGCAGAGCGGCGGCGCTTCGCTACAATCGGACAGAGCGAACTCCAGGTGCAGCGACTTAACGAGGCGCTCGCAATCAGGGGAGAACTCACAGCTGAAGGTGGGGGATTAGTTACTTTGCGTGGGGGGACAAAGGAAAAGAGAGAAGAAGGGAGAGAAAAAAGAAAAAAAAAGACATCAACAGCACCTGCGGCCCTCAGACGGTTTTCTGCAGCCCGGTGGCTCTGCGGCTTCGGCCCGGCCGCGGGACACCGCGCTGTGCTGCCGCGCTCGGGGGAAGCAATGACGGCCCTGTGCGGGGCTGCGGCGCAGCTCCGGGAGAAGGCAGCCCGACTGCCGTCGTTATCAGCCCTTCCTCGCAGACCTCGCAGTAGTTTCCCAGTCGCGCGGCTGCGGGCTCCCGCTGAGCTCCCGAGGGCGGGTAGCGGGGCCGGGGCCGCCTTCCCTCCTCGCCCTGAGCTTCGGCGGGACCCGAACCAGCGGCCCCGGGCGTGGGCATAGAGCCGCCCCGCCGCCGCGCGCTCCTCGCCCCGCTTCAACTCGTCTTCGCGTTTCGTTCCAACCGAAATCCTCGTCCGCACCTTTTAATAAAAGTAGTTATCTGTCCGAGCGCTGCGAAATTATAGCATTTCCACCTTTAAAAGACAGTAAACAAAATAATACTGGCGAATAAATGCTGCTAGCATCGAAGGATAAACACGTCGTAAAGCCGCTTCAGACGGCCGTACAAAATGTGCTGCGCTTTATAGGCTGGAGTACAGACAGACACATCGATACTGCGATCCGGGAGCCCCTGCCCGGGGCCGCGCTGCCGCCTGCAGTGAGGAACCTCAGTGCGGGTTAAGAAAAATAAAAGTCCCATTTAAACTTTATTGAATTAAAGCAAAAATTAATTTTCAATATTCACACATATATTACAGAGTAATAGTAAAAGTTCAATATACTTCCTGGCGTTTAGTTGGGCCACATTTTACAAGAGCAAAACAAGCGTCAAAACATTTAGCAGCCTTAAATTTCACAATCACTCAGAATTACATAGAAATATTGAAATACTGCGGTCAGCCCTCGCTGCAAACAGTTCTTCACGTAGAAACGTCTCCTTCAGCCCGCACACAGCCAGAGCGGCATCTGCTCTTCCACCGTGGCATCCACGTATTCAAAAATACTTTGCGCTTTTGTTTTGTTGTGTGGGTTGTTTTTTTTTAAGTTAAAACTCAGAGAAAAGAGTCGAGATTAACATGTTTTAAAAACAAAACTACAAAATATGCTGTAAAGGACAATGGAAATACCTAAAGCCTACTTGTGCGAGGCAGAAACCATGGGGAACGATGGCCGATTACACAGTGACACAGAGATGGGAACTAATTCTGTGGGAGGAGAGAGGAATAGAAATGGGGCTGTGATCAATTATAGTGTCTCCTGCCTGTTGGCTGCAACACAACGGAAATAAGGAGTAATTCTTCAAAGCGATGTACACAACCTAAGCAGGATTTAGCTTCTTAAATATTTGCACGTAAAAAGTCCGCTGTCCACAGCTCCGTACACCCAGCTGGGGCTGGGGAACTTGTAGGAGATTCTCTGACTTGCAGCTCTCCCTTCTCTCAGATGAGATGTGGTTTAAAGCGGGAACACCAGAAATCCAGAGAATGTCGAGTACTTCCAGCCCCCCATCAGGTTCCCTCTCTCCAGTTTTAGATAAGCTCTGTCTCCTTTCTCCATCTGTATCAGCACTCCGTTGCTGGCAGCTTCTCGGGTCACATCTTGGTCTCCTGCAAAGGCAGAAATCACTGGCCACCCATTTAGCATCAAACTCACCTAAAGAGCAAGATAAAACAAAGCCCTCCGTCAGTGCAAGGCTTGCCTCGCAGGGGAAAGTCGTTAGGAAAGGGCCTCTTTTGGCAGCTGCAACTCCAGCCCATAAAAATGAAACAGCGATGTGAGCCCGGCTGAGGTGTGCCCTCCAAGGGAAGAGGGCTTTCACCGCTGCTTTAGAGCGGCAGCCACATCAAACCCCTGGTGCATATAGAACAAGGCATTGATCCTATTCTGAAGGATTTCAGTGGGGTGCCCGCATGTTTTCAGGCTATGAAAGAGCTCTGCTCACACTCAATGAAAGGTGGCTCTATGCGGAACCTCAGAGCCGTGCGGAAGGCTGTCACAGCCGCCCCTCAGCGCATCTGAGGTGAGTTCAGGGGTGTTTGCCTTTGCCAGGCACAAAGACAATGTGCCACAACAGTCAATAGGCATTCCTCGGATCACACTGCCGACCCCAGGACTGTGTACCCCGCATTAACAATGCGCTCCCTGCCCAACCTAACGTGGGAAGCACTACGACGCTGCAGCTGTGCGTTCACCTTTGCAATGCGCATCGCTGCACAGACATTTTCCGCCTGGGTTCTGCTACCTGGCTTCGGGCCGGTAGTTCCATATCCCTACCCAGAGGTGTGTGTGCACCGAGCTACACACCAAAGGCGTGTACGGGGTGTCTGCATGTCTGCATGCGGCGCTGCATTCATACATTCCAGATGGGTCCACGTCCCGGAGCCCCCCAGCTCCCTCGGTCCCAGGAGCCTCCCCTCCGGCGGCCGTGCAGCGCTGCCCTTGATCCGGGATTTCAGCTCCCGGCCCGGGGCGGCTCTCGCTGCCAGTGCAGGCCTCGTGGCCGCGCGGCCCTCGGGCGGGGCGGCGGGGGGTGCCCGGGGACACGGCACGGCCCCACCGCGTCCCGCTTCACTCCGTTCCCCCCGCGCCGCTGCTCCCGCGGGCTGACCTGGATGGTTTGCCTGTTGTAGACTTTCACCACGTGAAAATTAAAACTGTAAATTCCTTTCCTTGGCGCTATGAACGTGCTCCTCTCCGAGTCGAAGTTGCTGCCGATGTTCACTAGTACCTGCAAGGAAAGGGCACCGTCAGCGCTCCGCCGAACCCCGGCCCCCGGCTCCCCCCTGGGGCGGGCAGAGCCCCGCGGGGCGGTGCGCCCCCTCCTAGCCCCGACAACTTCCCGTCCGCAGCCCCGCTCCGCACCTGGTCGAAGTAGATGATCATGGTGCGGTTGCTCATCTCGGAGGGCTCGTGGTTGGTGCTGCGGATGGCGGAGAAGGCGACCTTGGCGCTGCCGGAGCGCACGGAGATGCCGAGCGCGGTGCCGGTGGGGTCGGACGTGGGGTTGGAGTCGCACACCACGAGGCACTTCCCCTCCAGCACGATGGGCTCCGTCTCGTTCTGCCCGCACACCAGCCACGCCGCGCCCAGCAGCAGCCCCAGCGCCAGCGCCGGCCCCGGGCCTCGCATGGCGCCGCGCTCCCTTCGCTCCGCTCCGCGCCGCGCGGTACGGCACGGCACGGCACGTCCGGGCACGGCACGTCTGGGCACGGCACCGCTCCGCTCGCCCTGCTCCGCCGCGCTCAGAGAGGGGCCGGGAGCGCCCCACCGGGAGGGAAGAGGCCGCGAGAAGGCACGGCAGCACCGGCGCACATAGCGCGGAGAGGTGCGGGGAGGTGCGGTGCGGGGCCGAGCGAAGCCGTCCGCAGCCGCGCGGGGCTGAGGGAGGCGGCGGGAGGCGGCGGCGCTGCCGGGGCTGCCGGCGAGCACAAAGACGGCGCGGGGCGCGGCCCCGCCTCCCCACCGGCCCCGCGCTGGCGTCAGCGCCCCGCGCCCGCCCCCGCCGCGCCCGAC